TATTCATGTTAACATGATTTATTTCGAAAAACATCTGATTTATTCTAAACATAATAGAAAATCATGATAAACAACAATTTCCATTGGAAAAAAAATGAACTAATAACAATAACAAATTTATCTAATCATCAGATTCACCCTTTATTTTTTTCAGTGATGATGGTTCATCATTTTGATCTAGAATAAAATAAAAGATTTATAATTCTTTGTAATAGATAGAACTCAATACTAACTTAGACCACGTTTTCGTTTTCCGTCACCACGACCATCTCGTTTGCGAAATCCACTTCGTCTTCCACCATTAGCATATCTTTCATTTTTTCGTGCTCGTTGTGTTGCTCGTTTTTCATTAGCTTCTTTCCAAAACTGAGTTTCTTCGTCACCTTCAATAACACGACTAGTAACATCATTACTTCCAATAGTTAATTTTCCATTTCCAGCTTCTAAAACTTTTTCTAAAACATCTTTTGCTGTATTTGCTTCATTCAGTCGTACCCATGCCTAAACAAAATTTAAATTCATTTTACGAGAGAAAAAAAATTCATAATTTCTACCTCAGCATCACCTCTATTAAAATCAATCCATGGTAGTTTTGTAAAAGGATTGAATTTTTCTTTAATTAACTCACGTGATGCATCAGCAGCCATACCTGAAAATTTATAAAATGTCACAATATATAGTTTGGTATGAATATCTTACCAGCAAGATGAATAACAGCACCAGGAAGATGTTCACTGTTTAATTTTTCTAAATGTTCATTCGTTTTTTGTTCGAATTCTTCTTGTTTCTTTTCTTTCTTTATTTGTTTTTCTTTATCACGAGATGAAATCTCATGAATAGGTTCAGTTTGTAAAGAACATTCTAAAATTGAACCATCTTCATATTTAATTGGTGTTTGTTTTGAAATTTCCAAAAATTCACGAGCTTTTTCTTCACTTGGAAAAACAACATAGGCAGAACCATTAAAATCTTTTGTTTTAAATTGTTTCTTCATTTGTATATTATCTGTTGAACCATATTTTTCAAAAAAATGAAGTAATTTATCTAATGTAACATCTGCTGTTTTTGGAAAACCTTGAACATAAACAGTACGATTTTGTAAAGTTAATTCAAGTTCAGCTTGACTCTTTGGCAATGGACGATCTGGATGACGACGAATTTTATTTTCTATATCATCTAATTGTAAAAGACCAGACAGAGATTTTTTTAATGAATTCATTATAATTTTAAAATCTGTTGTTAACGATTGAAGACGTTTAAATGTTGTTAACATAGACAATGGTATCCAACCATCATCTTTACAAAGTTCATTTTTAAGAAATCTATCACGAGTCATATTAACATCACTAAAATAATATTCAATTTGTCGAATAATTTGCTTTTCTAGTTCATTTGATGCTATTGATTGACTTATAGTTGTCATATGATTATCTTCATCAGCACTAAACAAAAATAATTATATATTAGATTATTTAAATTTCACTCATAGACAAATGAACTACTGTCCATTTCAAAAAAAAAAGGCGGGTGGGTATTTTTGGAATATTTTGTAATAGGAACAAGATAGAGAGCTGCGGTTTTCACCGTTAGAGAGAGCAGATGAAGATCATCAAAACCTATCTGAAAAGATTTCTTTAACCACTTCCCAAAGACTAGTAGTCATGAGTAAAACCTTCACACAGTTTTGTGGTTCATGATCTGGAGATTCTAGAACACTCCCGAAAATGAACGAACTAATGTGGCGTTAATGTGAGACATACTGTTTGTCCAAGAGTTTCCTACAACAGCCTTTGGGAAGTAGTTGTTCCTATCATAAAATATTCGAAAAATTCCCACCCGCCTTTTTTTTTCAAACGGACAGTAGTGATTATTGAAGACTATAATTCTAAGCTGGACTATGATTGTGTCCATACAACGCATGTCTATATATAACGAGTTGGAGTGTCTACTTCATTCATTATTTTTATCATATAAACAGGAATATCTGGTTTGACATTTTTTTCTTCATTCTGCTTATGTCACTAATGTACATGAACAACTCAAGTCTTCTATGATTAGAACATAAAAAACATACTGATCAGTTCTATCCACTGTTGTCGTTGTTGTAATTGTATGATAAGGATTCATCTATAAAAATAGTATTTTTGTTTCTTTTCAGAAAATTTATTCTCTCACTGTTTTAGTTTCTGTTACTTTTGTAACAATATCACCGTTAACACTGGTTTCTTCTACAGATGAAATAGTATCTGTCATGATTATTTTTCTATTAATCTAGAACATAAATGGAAAGAAAATAGATGGTCTATACTTTTACTGAAAAAGAAAACAAATTGCAAATCAAAAAACCGAAACATTTTTGTTAGACAAAACACAAGAGCAGATAATACAATATAGCACTTCTTTCGGACATAATAAATGTATCATTAATTATATATACACACATATCCAAACAAAGTTTTTTTTTTCTTCTCCTTCGTCTTAAATGATAACAAAAAACAAAAAGAACAAAACTAAAATTAAAATGACAGAAATATATAGATGCGTAATATATTACATCCATTTTAGTATAGAATAAATAGATGAAATAAAAGGAAACACATTGACATTTGTATTAATTTAAGACTCGGACAAATATTACTTGAAGAAACGAATGTAACATTGGACAGGAATTTTTTGATTGAAAGAAGAAAAAAATCATTATTAATATTCATTCATGTCGATCGTCTGATATATGACCACCTTCATCAGAAAACACACCTAAATAATAAGTTTAAAAAAAAGTATATTTCATATCAATAAAATTTTACCATCATTTTTTAAAGATAACTGATTATTTTTTTCATTATAAATCTCACTTTCGGATGAATAATTTCCATTTAATTGACTATGTTTTGCACGATATTTTTCATCATCAAGTATATAACTATCACTATGAACTTCTTCAACTTCACCTTCTTCAGATGATGTATAAGAACTATGTTTTGATATTTTACGTTGAAATTTTTGATCATTTATTGTTGATAATGATGATAAATGAAATGTAACAGTTTTTGAATGTTTACGTAAATTATTAGTTGAAGAATGATGATCTATTTCATTATTAATATTTAAACTTGTATGACGACGTCGTCGTGTTCGTGGAAAAGTATGATGATAATTTTTATCAAATTCCTCTGGTTCACTACTCGATGATTTACGTGGAGGTATAGAAAATTCAGTTGATAATCGTGAGGAATCTACTTGATTTTCAAGAGTAAGTCTTAAATTCTTGGCATTTAATTCGCGATTGTTTGCATTCAATTTTGAATCTATATCAGCTGAAATAGATGGTATAGGAATGTTGTTTGTAGATTCTTCTCGTGGTGATGTTGCATTTTCTTTACTATTAGTACGATTATGACCAGAATTCTTTTTACGTCGTTGATTATTCTTTGTTATTAAAGATGGAATAATTGGTATTGGATTTGATGTATTATCCGAACTATTTGAAGCTAAATTTAAATAAAATATTTTTTTGAAAAATCAAACGTATTGAATATACTTACATCCATTATTTATTTTATTTACATGTCGTTTTTTATTATATGATAATAAATGTATTGGATCATTTAAATTCGATGTAGCAATTTTAATAAGTTCTAAAGATTTTTTTCTTGCTTCTGATATTGGATTTGTTGTTCGTTTTTTTACATTTATATTAAGAGTACGTTCTTTTTCTTTAATAATACGTTCACGTTTTTCTACTTGCATCATTAAAGATTTTAATTCCATATAAAGTGTATCAACTTGTTGTGCACGTTTTTGATAATGTGTACGTATATCAATAATATGCTGTAATTCTTCTTGACGTTTTTTCATTAATTCATCATTTGTCATACGAAGTGTGGATGAAATATCGATTGATGGAAATTGTGATAAATGTTTATTAATTTCAATAGACCATACACGTGTTAATTCAGCATATTTTTGCTCCTCTTCAAATAAAACTATATTCGGTTCACTGATATCTAAATGTTTAATTATTTCAGAAAATGATGGACGATCTGATGATTGTTGATTCCAACATTTTGTCATTAATAATTTAAAACCTTCAGGTGCAGATGTTGGAACTGGTAATGTTAAACTACCTTTACCAACACCTAAAATAAAACGATATATATATATTAAATTTTATACCAAGAAATAGATTTACCCCACATAACTGCCGTTGGGTCAATATTATTATATGGTACAGCACATGTTAGAATTTCCCAAACAACAATACCAAAAGACCAAACATCAATTTTTTCTGAACAAAGTTCTTGTCTAATAACTTCAGGTGCCATCCAAGCACTTGTTCCACTAAATGACATGATTTGACTTCGTCGATGAACTAATTCTTTACTTGTACCAAAATCAGATATTTTTAAAGTATGTTGATCAGAAAAAAGTATATTTGGTGATTTTAAATCTCGATGTACAATTTTATTACTATGTAAATAATCAACACCATTTGCAATTTGTCTTGACCAATCAAGTACTTGTGTTGGTTTTGTACAAGAACTCTTGTCACGACGTCGTTTTAATACATCATATAATGAACCATATGCACAATATTCCATAACAATATAATACAAAGGTGATGCAATTGCAATACCTGATGAAAATAAATTTATATTAAAACATAACTAATAATATAAAAACAACAAACCTCGAAATTTAATTACATTAATATGATTTAATTTTTTTAAATGTTTTATATTCGTTTCATCTTTAGTTTTTACTCGTTTCCATGCAACATCTTGACCATGAAGTTTACCGTGAAAAACAGAACCTTCAATACCTGAACCAATTAATTCTAAATCATTCATTATATTATCAACTGATATTTCCCAATCATCATTTGGTTTGACTAATGAAGTTCTTATTGTATCTTTATTATATTTAATATTTTCACTAAATCTATTCACGGCAGAAAATATTGGTTTAAAACATCCAAGAAATGTACCAAGTATACTAGTATTATCATCATTACTGGTATTATTAGTAATTTCAGGATTTTGATATCGTACTTCAACTTGTGGAAGATTAGATATACCAATAGTGGTAGTTGTTGTCGTTGGAGTTTTACGAAATATAACTGGTGGATCGCGTTCACCGGTTGAAATTGATGGAGTTGGACAGGTAGTTAATTGAGGTATAGGATCTTCAGTTAATGTGGGAGGTTCATCTTCTTCTGATGAATTAACAGTTACGGAACTAAGCATAAGAATAAAGTAAACTACTAGAGAAATACAAAAAAAACTAACCCAAGATCCATATCTTGTCTATTAAATATATTCGAATTAAGTTCATCAGATGATGATATTCCATTGAGTGCAGCCGTTGCTGATGCTTGATGCAATATGATTGTTTCGAGTGTCACATCTGGTAATGGTGGCATATTTTAATAGATATATATCTATTCTATTTAGTACTGTCTACATAAAGCGTCTAAAAAATAAACAATACTATCATAATTCTTTTTTCTTATGCAATGATTCGAAAAACATGACTTCTCAAGAATCGGGAATTTCTTTTTATTCTTCTCTATCTATGAGAAGTGATGACGTTATGACAGTATATAGAAATACTAATATTATTATTTGTTTCTTTAAATGTCTGACCAATCAGATTCAATATAGATGCCTCTATAATATAAATATAATCTATATACAATTAATGCCAAAATTATTAAGTATTATTATTAATATAAATTAAAATTTCATTTATAAATTTTTTTATTAATTCTTCCTCATTCAGCTATTGCACATTCATGAATCATTGACGAGTTTCTCACGTTCATTCATTCACTCACTCAAATATTTAGTCTTGTCAATAATCTACTATTATTTAAATCATAAAAATATTTATTGATATATTTGCCGGTAATAATTATGTAGTGATTCATATCGTTTATTATAAAGTTGACGGCAGAGTAAGAAGATTTTGTTAAATAATATACTTTTTAGTAGTTTTGCTTCGAGATTAAAATTGAATTCTATTCATTGAGAATGAATATAAAGTATGAACTATTCCACTTTGAGCAAAAGTTCAATATGTATAATATTTAAGATACGATGATTAGTGATTGTATCAGTTTATTGTTGACAATTCATTCATTATTATGAATTAAAATCACTCTACACAGTTCTCACAATGTTCTTTTAGTTTAAGTTCATTTGCAAATCAAGTACATATGTAAGCAATATCTGGAATAATATACTCGTTTATAGTTTTAAAACCAATACAATATCATACAAAAAAAAATAAAATGATATAGGAAAACATTTAAATAAAGCAGCTACGATTTAAGCAACCTCTGGTTTTACCTAGATATTGGTAATAGGGTAATATCGATAAATTGAAATAAGCTAATCTTTTACTAAAGCCTTAGGCTTTTCAAAGCGATTTTGTAAATTCTTTACAAATGTTGAATAAGGACAATAATAACTATCACAATAAGGTAGTACTTGTGGCTAGAAAAACAAAATTAAAGACAATACAATACTAATCGTATTCAATTAATCACTTACTTCACCGGCAAAATTAACTGTAATATATGTTTGTTCAGGATTAGTTTTCGATATATAATATTTCATAAATATATATGCAGCATATTTTGGCCAACGCATATTAAAAATCTATGTACAATAGAATAAATATTCTATCTTAAAAACACAATGCATACGTACTTCAAGTGCCATTGCTAATGGAATTATTGTTGTATCATGACCAGAATAGACAAAAAGTTTTTGATATGGTCTAAATATTAAGATCAAAATATATCCAAACCCGAATAATCTCTATTAAACTAACTTTTGAATTTTATTTTCTTTTTCTGCCAAGTAATTTTTTACTATCGACTTAAAATTTTCGTTCATCAAATATAAAAGTGGTCCACATGTCGTACGTACAAATTCATTAAAACCAATCGATGTTCTAAATAAAATCATAGATAAATTTTCTTTATAAAAAAATAGTTATAAATAATTACGCCATCGCAACGAATTCTCTTGCAGACATGGATTCGAAATCTTTTGTTAATTCTTTATAGTCTTCTGGAACAGAAAAATTGTGTGCCTAATTGAACAGATAATTTACAATTTTTCTATCATTTTAAAAGAGAAAAACAAATAGACAAACTTGTCGTGAAACAATATCATCATATAATTCAACAATACCATGTTCGTAATCACTGACACCTAAATTAGTAATAATAAAAAATCAAATCATAAAAAACACCTTACCAATACGATTAATTAATGCTTGACGGGCTTTTTTCAAGTCATGAGTATCATCTAGTGATCCATAAAGTTCTAAAGCTGATTTGCATTTCGCTATTATTGGGTAAACACGAGCATTTGGAAACTTAAAAAAATTAAATTTATTATAGAATTTTCTTTGGAATATTTACCATATCCTCATCTGGAAAGTTATGAACTTCGATTTCAAATGGACCTTTAGCCTGTACTTTATTATCTTGTTTTTCGGATGAAAACAGACCAGCAAGAAATGATCGAGCACTAGTTACCGTTCGATCCATGTATGTTGATCGACAGCTAATAAAAAAATATGTTTACAATATTCTGTTAAAGTCTATTGAAACATACTAGACAAAATTTGGATCATAAATTGGTGGTATAAGTCCTTTATCATCGTCTTTTATTATTTCGCTTCGTATTATTTTTCCTAGTTCATACAATTGTTTTTCACCAACTGCTGTTAATTGTCCTGTAACTATTTTATCACCTGAAGCTGACTAATAAATAAAGTATTTTAAAATCATTCATTTTGTAAATAGTTAACACATACTTTTAATTGCCGAATTTTATCACCAATCATATCATTTTGTGATGAAATTTTATCTTTTGATACAATATCGTTACCTAATTTTGTAATTAATTTAATATCCCATTTTGTTAATGGATAACCTTGAACGTGTTCTTTACTATAGGATACCTAAGAAAATGAATTTAATATAAAAAACGATTTTTTTTGTCTATTATTTTGAATATATACTTCTTCGAGTCCTGGCAGTAGTTTAAGTGGTGTACGAGCTCCATGTCGAAAGAAAACTTGCGCACCTATTAATTGTAAATCATCACGAATTTTAATATCAACTAATCTATTTGAAATTGGTTCTGAACGTTGACCAGTTGATGCCCAAGATGTTAAAGTATTTTCATAAGTCGACATTGATCTATGAGGTATTATTAAAGCACCTTTTAAAAATGTATCGTAACACAATTTCAATATGATCGTTGATGTCCCTGTTAAGAAAGACCATTTTACAATAGAATGATAATGCTGTCGCATTTTATCAGAAAAAAAGGTGCAATTTTTATAAGTGTTTTATTTATCTATAAGAAATACGAGATATATTTATAGGAATGTAAAAATGTTGCAATTGATTTTAATATTTTCACAAACACAAATATTAGTAAAAGCGTTTTGTTTTTTGACATTTAAAATACAAATATAAAAAGCAAACTATATTGACAAATAAGAAAAATATATTAAATAGATAAAAGTTTAATCGATTATATAAAAATTGAAAGAAAAAGAATTTCGTTGTTCGTTACGTCAAAAACAGAAAGTGTACCATTCAATTAGATAAAAGCATCATCACTAACTGGACTGGTTAATGAAGCATCGATGGCTAAAATAGATAGAAAAAATATTGATTACAAATTGTTCTTAATAGTTTCATCAAATCTTATTAATACTATATAGGAAATAAATCAGCACTACAAATAGCATATCGTAACAAAGGTGAAGCTAGACAACTATCATCTAGCTTCACCAAGAAAATATAATGCAACTATAGAGATGATGAAATGAGAAAAGATGACTAACATATGTGAGCACATGTGAAGGAACAGAAACATGTATATGGCGTAGTCAAAATTAAAATTTGACTAGTCGGTAGTGACGGTACGAGTGGGAGAGGGGATACCCCTCCTGCTTTTGAGAAAAATGGCTGGATTTTCTCCTATTTTACCATTTTGGATTATCTTTTATAAGTTTGATGAATCTTTTTACAATAATGTATTCTAAGTTAAATAACTAGACAAACTCTAGACTGAGTATAATATTACTTTTATTGTTTATTCACTCGTTCCCATTTAGATTTCGTAGGAGATAGACTAGATATTTTTTATTTTTATTTTGTTGTGTTGTCTATTCAAACATGTTTGCTTTCTCTATTACTGACGAAACTTGTTAAAACAATGCTTTTTTTCTGCATTCTACAACATGTAATTATAACGATGAAATTCGAAAGCGGTATGAACAATAAATTAACAACAAATATATGTCTATTTTTATCCTGATAGACATGCATTTATACAACAATATACATACCAATTAATGTTTGATTGACTGTCTGTAGTTTATCTACAAGTTGTTCTAAGTCACGCACATTTACATTGTTATCAATTGTAGTATCATTTAATCTAGATTTTTATAAAAAAAAATAGTAATAAAAATCAAGTAATAATAAGTTCTTTTACTTTAATTTTTCTAATATACCAGATGAAAGTTGAATTAATCGAATTGCTAATCTTTGTCCATTTTCACGTAATGAATCACATCGTTCCTAAAATATACGATCACTCTTCTGATATTAGAAAACAAAAGATTTCTTTACCGATCCAATACTATAAGTACTTATAGCCATTCTTTGAGATGGTTGTATATCTCTAATACTTCCTATTGAGCCTTTTGGATATCTTGCCGGTTTTTCTTCAGATAAATTTGGACTTACTGACGAAGATCGATGATATGATGCAGATTGTAATGTTCGCGTTGTTAACATATCTTGTCTTCGAGGTACATTATTCGTTCTTGATGTTACGCGAGAATTTGAGGCTAAGCTTGCTGAATTCGTTTTACTTAGACTACTTGCACTACTATGCCATGATGCACTCATTATATCACTTTTAGGATTATTGTGATTATTGTTATCATTTTTATGTAAATGTTTTCTTGTACGTTCAGATAATTGTTCGATTTTTTCTTGTGCACGTGCACGACGTAATTCAACAGCTCGATTTGTTTGTCCTATTGAATTAGTCATCGATGATGATGTTGATGAAGTTGATACAGTTTGTTTTAATGGTTGACGTGATGATACTTTTGTTATTGTTTGTTGCTGTTGTGCTGGTTTTGGTGCTGATGCCAAAAGATTCGAGCGTTGTTGTCGTAATATAAATGATTTATTTGTAGGAATCTTTGTAAAATTTGACCCTGTTTCATCATTATTATTTGTTGCTGTTGATGCTGATCCTAATCGTTGATATCCAGCATTTGTAGGAATTGCTTTATTTGTGACCGAATTCGGTTGAAATGATGATGTATGTTCATTTTTAGCCGTTTGTGGTCGAGTAGATGGTTTGGCAACGGAATGTTGTTTTTGAAGATGAAAGGATAATTGCTCTGTAAAACTTGGATTAGAACGAGCTGATAGTGGAGGAGAAGTTGATTTACTCATTGAATTTTCGTAATTCAAATCTTTATTAGAAATAGGTTTTACTGCAGATTGTGATCTATAATTCATCAAATTTTCTTTATTGAAAATTGTTGAAAACGAAGTACTTACTTCCATGAAGCGTCGGCTTTTTGTTGAGATACATTTGTAGTTGGATATAATTTTGTTTCATATGTTGGTGGAAGGACTAAAAATATACAACATAAATATAATTTCTATCAAGAAAGCTGTTTTTCTTTACCAAAACATTCAACTGGTTTTATTTGATTTTTCGGCGGTGTTTTTAATTGTTGTTGCAAAAGAGTATTTCGTTCATAATTGAAATTATTAGATACATTATTTTGAAATTGAACAGTAGAGTCATTATGAAATGTATGTTCAAGTTCATCTGGAAATGAATGAATTGATGATGATGATGATGAATTTGATGATGATGAAGATAAATCACGTGTTGGAATATTCATATCGACAATAGGCCGGATCACAGTATGTGGATTTGGCGAAATTAATCCGTGTATATCAAAAGTTCCATGACGATTGTTTGTTTGATTTACATATCGTCTAAGAGTTGATGGTGGAGGATTAATTTTTTGTTTTGATATATCAGTTTGTATAACATCAATATCATCATCGATTATATAAGTACCAGCATCACTCAATACATCAATATCATGAAATTCTGCTGATCGAGTATGAAAATTTAATGTATTATTGTCGGAAAGTTGACCATTTGAAGAAGAACGAAGTTTTTCATCACCTTTAGCTGCCATATTAAGTTCATAAAATTGCTAGAATAAATTAAAAATCAATTGAAATTTTCTTAGTTTTGCTAAACTTACCGCTTTTAAACTACGGTTAAAATTTTTCTTCGGTGGTATAAAATCTAAAATAATTTATAATATTATATTATTACAAACAATTTTATTCTTACCTAATGTAAACGAATAATGTTGATTCTAAAATAAATCAAAGAACTATTTTTTTTGATATGTAATATTTTTGAAACATACTTGATTCGATGTCTTGTTTCCTCTAGCTTTCAATGCTGTTGATATATCTCGAACACTATGCTGACCACTTATACTGATATCAGTTGCAATTAGAGGCTAAAGAAAAAATAGAATATTTAATGACGTCATTTGTTAGTCAGTCATACATTCTTTTTCTATAAATGTTTGTTGCTTAGTAGGCAAGGACAAAAACACGTGAAAATAGATTCAGTTGTATAGTACGTTTTTTCTTCTGTTCTCTGTTTAATTCATCTTACCGCACAAGGTGACGATGTAAACGATTCGTTCTGAGTAATACTGAATTCAGGTAATGCTGGTATAAAATATTGATATAGTAAAATACATGTGATATTATTGTTAGTAGATGACGATGAAGAAATAACAGTAATAATCAACTGAGAGAAATCGATATTCTGAGACACCCAAAACCGTCATTAGTTTTACACTGAGATATTATAAGGAAAGAAGAATATTAAAAAGTGCGCATAGGGATCATCTAGAAAAAAGATCAAATATGATCATTATTGTTTTCTTATATTTCTATTGATTTTTACATACGAAAGCATCACAACATAAAATATATCAATCTTAATCTTGTAATATTTCTTTAGAATTTAATCTCACCTGGAATTGATTTCGATGAGATTGACGTAGAGAACTCGCCCATCGTTGAACATTCATTTGATCCATCGTTTTATTTGTAATAGCAATTTGTCGTCTATTGCTCTTTTATATATACAGTTTCAAATATCTCTCATGCGTGTTCATACAATCAATATTGAAAATAAAAAAAAGAAGCCCTTCACCTCATCATCATCATTCAAACTCAATTGTTCACTCAAGCAAATCATTTAAATTTACCAAAATATAAACATACATAGACATACGTAATAAAAAGACATATTTAATAGTGAATTTTTTTTGTTTATTTTGAAAAGACCTAGACAAAGAGAACGCACAAAATCTTGAATGATTGATAACATGAAAAGAAAATGAATGAACTTGAAGTTTATCATCTCATCATTACACATAGAATTTGAATAACGAAAGAAAAAAAAGATAAGTCAGTTACAATAATAACAACAAAAAAAATTCTTTTAACTTTTTTTTCTTTAACAGAACAATTCGGTCCGAAAAGAGATACAAATTGATTATATAATATATATATACAAAAGAAAAGCCGCAAGTATGCATATTGATTTAATCAAGAACAACAATATCATCATCAACATACGAGACAAAGTTTGTATTGAGTTTTTTCCATGGTGCACGTGCAATACGACGAATTTCCTTTTGAGGAATTTCTTTTCGTAAACGTCTAAAATTGATACAAAACAAATGTTGATAGAATACATCTCGTTAAGATTAAAATATAAAAATTTTGTTTTCAAGAGAAAACAATGATAGAAATTTGAATTTCATCGATTTCTCCTGCTATATAATTATGAGTTTCGGTTTTGGTAATTTAGGCATAAAAACAATAATTGTCAACGTTGACGTAATGTTTGTTACGGTCTATGTTGTTGTATAATAATATTTGCTACGTTTAATGAAAAAGCATTACCAATATATGTCTGATATATGTCATAATAATGTATATCACGGTTATAGTCTATTGGATCTAAAATCTGTCTATAACGTTCTGACCTAACTCATACTTTCAGTAATGTTTTATTTTACTATTTGAGTATAATAACTCTCTCTCTCTCTGTGGATATAAAATAATCTATTTCGGTACTTAATTCAATAAGTATGATATTCTATTTAGTTCTTATATAATTTTATTACTTCGTAAAGAATTCTCCGATTCCGTAGATTCTAGTTTATATTTTATATACAAAAATTTCAACATTCCTTTTTTTCGTTTATGTTAAATAAAAAAAGTCTTACTTGATATCTTTTGTTACACGTAAATAAATACCATCGGGAGCTAAAAAATAAATTGAATAATAATATTTGATTGAAATAGAATATTATAATAAACTTACGATCAACAAATGGAACAGTATAAGCACGCGAACGAGATAATTTGGCGGTACTCTAGAAAAATATGACAGTTAAAAATCGATTCATACCACACATCATAATTATCAAGCGGAAAAGACGAGATGGAAATAGAAATTATCGTAGATTTAAGATATCAAAATATCAATAGTAAATATTTATTCATGCTGATAACATTATGGAAGTAAAAGTAATTGTTCCGATCGGATATTTATTTAAAGAACTCAATCAAGTTGAATTTACTTTCTATAGATAATATTCTAATGAATAGTCATTGAAATTGAACTATCGAATTAATTCATTTTGTTATATTTCTGTAAAAACAAACTTTTCATTACCGGTGATTTTGTTTTGATTAAATTTTGTCGACTGATTAATGTTCGTTTTGGTGATGGACCTAATAAGAAAAATGAGATCGAGTTGATTTTTTTCAAAAGAATTTTATATAGCTTTTACCTTCATTTGAACTATCATTTGATTCATAAGGTCGTTTTTTCATAATACTCATATTTGAATGAGTAAATTGTGCATAAAAATCTCCTGAATCCGTTTTTAATTTAGGATAACGTAGTGGTATATTTGTTTCATTTTCATTATTTTCTTTTTCTTCATATTTAGACAGAAAATCATCGAATGTTTTATCTTTATCATTCTCATCTTGATGTGGAAATATATCATTTAAATGTTTAGTTTTTTTATTTTCACTCTCTTGTTTATATGCATTACGAAGACGTGTACATATATTTCGAATATCTACTGGAGATTTTTCATT